TCTATCTATCTATCTATCTATCTATTTATCTATCTATCTATCTATCTATCTATCTATCTATCTATCTATCTATCTATCTATACGTCCTATACATTATATCATAGACGTAATACAAATGGGCGTGGTTGGCTGGTGCTCTGGTGAGGTTTGCTTCTTCTTTCCTATCAAACATATGTCGTCTTTATCTCCCTTTCTTCTTTTTTTGTGTGTTTTTTACTCTCTTGTAACACCTCTAATCTTCGGCACTTATGTGGCGTTATTGTGTTGCAAGTGCCGCAAAAGTCTTAATAAAACAAACACAGTAATACAAATACCATGTTTTCCCATACCTTTCAGGCAGACGGACCAATGCATGGAGTAATACTCGCAAACAATGTAGGAATAATTCTCCCAACAAACAGATAAATAAGCGTAAAGAGCAGAGTTTTGCATGGTACACCAAAAAACTTTTTAAAAATTGTTGTTGTTGTTGTTGTTGTTGTTGCAGTTGTCATTCATGTTGTTGTTGGTTCTGTCGAGAGTTGTATGTCTTCATAATGTGTGTTTTATCCCCGCAGACCTGGACAGACAGCCGACTGACGTGGACACCAGCCACATACGGCGGGATCCAAGACTTCTATGATACAGAGCTCGTCCTCTGGAGGCCTCAGATCATCGTGGACAACGAGTGAGTTAATAATAATAATAATAAATATAATATTGGTATAGCGCATGTCCCCACTTGAAAGCAAGCTCTATGCGCTTACACTATATTTTTACCCCAGCAGACCATAGAACACTCAGAAACATTCTCAGCTTCCCGGGAAGCATGCAGTGCAAACAGCTGGTTAAGCGCTCAAACACTAACAAACTGACAAGATCTTTCACTGTCTATAGCTGGGTACGCATTCCCACCTGGGTGAAGTGCGGAAAATTCGTGTAAAGTGCCGTTCCCAAAGAAGGAACGTTGGGCCCGCTGCTCGAACCCCCGAACCTGCAACCTCACGATTACGAGTCGGGTAACCTAATACGGGGTGCCCACTACGGATGGGATCTGCCTATCGGGCCGATCGCCAGACTCGATCTCCTCAAAAACAAACGTGTTTGTTTTCAGTTTCAGGCGATCGAGTCGGGCGATCGGCCACATCCAGCCGTAGTGGGCACTAGAGCTAGGCGAAGGATCGATTCCGAAACCGATTCCCACGATTAATGCTACGTAAGAAAAATTCCGACTACTTTACACGAAAACCAGCGGTTACCAGTTACTTTGATCATTAAAATCTTCTTCTATTTTTTTAAATATATATTTTTTAAAAAGTTGATGCTTCGTTGTGTTCCGAAAGCAATGTTACCATAAACCCTGAAGATGTTCGGAGCCGAACACCACCGGGGTACCACCCGAAGAAATCACATCATTTGAAAGAAAGTAATTCCTACGATTCCTAACTTTCAATAACTGGGAACCTAACCGCCCAGCACTAGTGGGCACCCCTATAACCACTAGGCCACCGACGCCACAAATGGCTGCTACATGCTAAATAGAGCAGACCAGGTCACAATCTTTCGAGTCCGTTGGGGCCACAACAGACTCAAACGCCACAAGCACATTAAATAAAAGTGGGAGAGTCCGCGATCTGTGAATCTGGACACGGCCAAGGGGATGCCAACCACATCCTTCAGCACTGCCCGCGCTACGCCACCCTTCGTACACAGACGTGGCAAACTGTAAATCCCCCAAGGGAGAAAGCTCTATGATGGCAGTCTCTTAAATTTGAAGCGGACTGCACAGTTTGTGCGCGACATCGGACTGACTGTCTAGCTGCTGTCATCGAGAACGAGGAAGAAGAAAAAGGGGAAGAAGAGGGCGGAACCTTGCGGAAAGTAACGGCCGTGCGTGATGAGAGAGATACATACAGGGCATGCCAAAAGTCGCGCACCGTCCTGGTTTTGAATTTTAAAAAACCAAACAACCACAGCGCAGCTGATATAACGCTACCCTAGAACTGCGAAGTTCTACCTAATCAGTGCCTAGTTTTGAAGAAATGTGTCTTAATTAAAAAATATTGAGTTTCACAACATGTCAAGCTTTTCCGAATGCAATTCTTTGAAAGTCTTGATGATGGCACTTAAACGACCAAAATTGAGTCGATAGTGCCGTAAAACACCTACTCAATCAATCATAGAATGTCTTGATAATGACTCCAAATAACCTGACGATTTTGATAGTGGTGGTAGAATATTTGGTTTCTGACCTCATGGTTTTAGTAACTCAAAACGACCAAAAATGTCAGACAGAACTTTGTCATTTTAAGGTCCCGAAATTAAGCGTACTGTACATGCTCGAACTGAACTCCCCCTGCAACAAACGTTCAGCTACAGAGCTGTGAAATTCACTTGCTGACCTTCCATATTTAAAACGCGCGATACCTTACCTTCCTTTGGCACTTTTTCAGCAACCGTCTTATGTTAAGGTGTATCGAAAGCATAGATAATGAAGTGCTTCAATTTCTGTGCATCCAGAAAGTTTTCGGGATGATGTTTAGCTTTTGGCACACACAGTAGTTTCATGGGGCGTAAAGGGCACGGGTTTCAAGACAAGCATAACGCCATACGGTTATACAATCGGGTCGTTTCTTTTATTCGGCCAGGGCTATTTCAATCAAAACTTGGAATTCTTTATTCCGTTCGAATCATTGAGGTAAAAGGAACTGTCATAACATGACCGACAGATCTGATTGAGACTTTGGGATCTGAAAATTTGAGAAGATTAGTTATCGAGTGCGTATCCTCTCTTCCCCCCTTGTTGCTTTTGCTCTAGGTTTTAAAGACTGAACAATCTTAATTGATTCTTAGAAAGAAAACAGTGTGACCTTTTCTACAGAACCTGAAGATAATTATGTATTTAGACCCTCCTAGGCTATAAAAAAGAACATTTTGCTGAATTAAAAGAATCCCAGTTACAGGAGAGTCACTCATTGTGGAGTATTCGCCTATAGTACCTGTAACTAACCATTTGTAGTATCACAACTGCATGCAGTCGACGAAAATGTCTCAGACGGCCACTCATAATGTCGTGGAGAAAAGTGACTGTCTTACACAGGTGGACATTTTAATCATATCGTTATACGGGACATTCAAATATATAATCTTGCGCCTGAAAAGGGGGGTG